AATCCCCGGGATGGATGGCAACCCCATTCAGCTGCATCCCACCCCCTAATAACCCGTGTGCGACCCACCCACCATCCAACCAGCTCCGTCGGGACAAGCGTTCTTGTATGAGGCTCCGAAACCCAGAGGTACCCTGGACCCCGGCCCCCGCCCCGCAGCTACCTGGTGTTCCCCCAGCTGGGCGAGTGTTGCACGTGCTGTACGGCAGATAAGGCTGGATGCGGAATCACGCCTCCCGAGTGAGGGTTGGGCGATGGGGCGGGGAAGGGCGCCGATGGCGGTATGGGATGCGGTGCGCGCGCGTGCGGAACGTGTGCTGGGGACGGGTTACGGCAGGCGCCGTGCAGGCTGTGCTGTCTGCTGTGTTGTGCTGTGCTGCCTGCAAGGCACACCGTCAACGCTGCCGTGCGCGACTGCAAGCAGAGCTCTTTCCCGGCGCCTGGACTCCCGCGGTCCAGTTGTGCGCCGATGGTACCACAAGCACACGAGGGTGGTGCAGGGTGGCGCATACCGTACCTGCACATATCCACCTACCTTGGTCCCCATCCCGCCCCACCCTGAACCCCCCCACCTCACCCTGGCGCATGCGGCCCTGCACAGCTGGCTGAAAGACGCAGTCTTCCAGGGGACTACCGAGATCCAGGTACGTACGAACATACGCACGTACTTACATACGCAGGATGGCGCAACATGTCACGCTATCTTACCAGCTTTGCAAGCCAGGTTGGAGCGGGGCTCGCCTTTTTCAGTCGCTGGGCTGATGGCGTCGCGATGTGGGCTGGGGCGCCCGTGCCGCGCCTTGGCTGTTGCGGTATCTGTACGGCAGCTTTAGGGCCGCAGGTTGTGGCACGCGAGGGGAGCGCTGTCTTATCACCGATATCTTGCAAGGAGGCAGCACCCTCAACCTCACCCTCAGGATAGAAGGCCCACGCCCTGTTGCCGTTGCCACGTTTCCCCTTTCACTCCCCCCGTGACGCCGTGAGGCCCTTTCCCGTCACGTCCCCCTCGTTTCCCCTCGCACCTTTCGAACGCATCGGCCTTAGACCTCAGCGTCCTCGATTTACCATCTTTAGACCTTCACCAGGCCTTCACGCCAAGAATTTGCTTTCCCTCTACCCACGGCCCCCAGGGTATCCCCGCTTACGATTGGCGCATCGCCAGCTGGTTCCTGCCAAAACACTGGTGTGTGTGCGTGTGTGCGTATGCGTGTGCGTGAAGGCAGGGGTGGCGGGGCGCGTGTCGGGCGGGGCGGCGGGGAGCGCGATGGTTAGGATGGGAGGGGGGGAAAGGGGAAGGGCACAAAGCGCAGCGGGTTGGGGTTCGGGTGTGTGTGGGGGGCGCGGCGCTGTTTGTGTTTCGTCACGTGACGCGCCGCAGAGCGCCACTATGCTTCCCCTTCGCCGCGTCCGTACTCCTGGCCGTATCTCCCACGATTCTTGTCCCTGGCAGGGGCCACCCGCGGAGCCCCGTTCGCTGCCGTCCAAGCGCTAGTCACACGAAGTGCCTCTTGCGTCTTGCCTGCCTGTCCCCGATACGTGGGACCGATGTCGGAAGTGGTTGAGGCGCCAATGAAGAGCCGAGCGAGGCGACCCTTCTGCCAGCCTCCCCCGCCCCCACATACCATACCTGCAGCAGCGTACTCGCCCCACCGAACCCGCGCCACCTCCCTCCTCCGTCACCATTCAAACTACCGCCCTTCTCTCACCCCCTTTCACCCAACCCCCCTTCGCTCCCCCTCCTCTTCCCCTTCGCCCTCCCCACCTCCTCATCTCCTCTCCTCTCCCTTTCCGCCGAAAACCCCGCCAGGTACGCCAGCGCTGATGCGGCCCAGGTTCCCCTGGAGCTGGACCAAATGCCCAACGACCGCCAAACCTTCTGGCCGGGGACCTTCCAGGAGGGGCCGCCGCCTCCCGATGTGTTCCAGCTGCCAGAGGGGTGCAACGACCTGTGAGCTGTGGGGCGGGCCGTCCCCCAGGCGGGGCAGGGGGGAAGGCGGCGGGATCTGAAAAGCAGCACCGTAGCCATATCCCATATGGCCAGCAGTTACGGTACAGGTCCCGCGCAAGGACGACGGCGCGGCCATGAAAGCAGGAGAGTGGGGGAAAGGCGGTTGGCCCCCCACTGCGTGGGAGTAGACGCGTGTGCGTGTCGGTTGAGGAAGCACGCCCCACGAGCGACGACCAGGCATGCCCGCCGCCGCCGTGTCATGCTTTCGAACTTCCCAAAGTGATGCCCGGGTCTGACTGCTCGTCCATGTCGTCCCCTTCTCTCCCGTGATGCCGTCCCTTCCCTTCCCTTCATCCGCCTTCCCAGGTGCCCGGGTATGTGCCACCCCTGGCCCTGGGCTGAGGATACACCGGCCTTCGCGCCGGCTTACCGGTAGTTGCTCCTGGGGCTTGTACCAGCAGCAGCGGCACGCAACGCCGACGGGGCTGACTGACTGGACCTGCGGCGATGAACGACTGTCGCGGCCGGGCCGCGACGATGCCTGCGTATCCTTAATTGGGGCGGCCACATAGCGCCGCTGCGCAGGTTAATGGCCTGAAATGCCAAGTTGCTCGAGTTGCAAGCCGGTGGGCGCCTCTTGGGCTGGATTGTCTTGCCTTGTCTTGTCTTCTGTTGGGGCGAGATGGGGTGTCTGCTGTAAGGTTGGTTTGTCGGTCGCCAGCCAGAAAGAGAGGCAGGAGGAGGCGGCTTGGCAAGGGGTGGACTTGCTGCTAGTCGCTCGTTTCTAGAAAACCGGAACCCACCAGTTCTCCGTTGGTTGGACGTTTGGCGAACGGTACCTATCGCACACGCGCGGCAGGACAGGAGCGACATGCAGGGTGGAAAGGTGCGGGTTGAAGGGCGGTGGTGGTGGTGGTGGTGGGGGGGGGGGGGGGGGGGCGGGGGGCGCTAATGGGACGTTGGCGCAGCGCCGCTGCTCGGGAAGGGGACCAAGGATTCGGGAATGTACGGGGTCTCCCGCGGAGCCGAGCTGCAACGCCGCCGGGCCGGATGCAGAACTCGTGCTCGCGCGCGCATACCGGTAAGCGTTCCGTATGTCCAACCGACCGTGTCTGCAACAGTTTACGGCGAACCTAGAGTTCCGGGAAATGCATCGTTTTCTCCGGCGTGTCACCAAAAACGTTCCGCCTTGCTCCGCCGGTCACTCGGCAGGGGAAGTCAGGCGGCCGGAGAAGCGGGTTCGCAATATCACGTGACCTGTACGACCACCAACCGCCAGCGTGGGCGACGTGGCGCGCAACCACTGTTGTTCCGACTCGCGTGCATGCCTTGGTCGAATGAAAATGAAACGAGCATTGGAGGCCTTTACGTTTAGCTTCAAAATTATGGCGCTGCTCGTTGCCCTGCTCCTCGCTGCGAGCGTTATGGTTGCTAGCAGGGGACTCACTGCTGACCGAGGAGGCAGCTTGAAACAAAGCTCCATACATAGCTCAAGGACTAGCATTTTCGTAGGAGACGCGCCGAAACCGATTTGGCACGAACAGTTCAGCATACAATTCAACGAGACGACCCGCATTTTCGTCACGAAGCACACTGCCGGCACCTGGTACTATGACTTCGTTGCTCAAAAAGAGGCACTGTACCGCGAAAATGGCAACGGCGATCGCTATTGTGGCAGTGTCCACCCGCTGACGCAGACGCCTTGCGCGCACATCGTCACCGGCGGGAAGAGGTGAATTTCGGGGCTAAATGCGACACGTTCCAGAGCAAATCATTTTCACCGCAATAGCTCTCTTCTGTACTTCTGTCCAAGTCTCTGCGTTGATTGGCGCGTGCCTGGTGCTTTGCCGGACCTTGTTCGGTACGATGGTGTGGGACATCCCCGGCACCTGGGCCGGCCCTAATAGTTGGGGTCCTGGCTTTCCCACCGGCGGGGCGGGGGAGGCTGTCCAACACCTACCAGTCCTCAGTGGGCCGAATCTTCAGTACAACGTCGTCTGACCCACGCACCTCATCATAACGGCCCGCAACCCTGCACGCCACCCCTACTGCTGGCCTTCGGCCCGGAGTGATGAGCTTGGGGGGCAGCGCCTGTTGCCATCGCGCCCTGGCTTAGCGCTCCCATATACAACAGGGCACCGAACGGGACGGCGCTGATGGCGTATTAGTTGCTCGGCGCAAGATAACGCATTCTGGGTTGATGGATGGAAACATGCGGCGACTAAGCCGTCAAGCACGTGCACGCGCCAGCCGAGCCTGCTTGCTAGTGTAGCCGGCCACGAGCTTCCGCAAGTTCCCTCCCGGCCCCTCCCCTCGCAAGGTCCCTGATACCCCTCACGTATAGCCCATTGCATACGTACATTGTCTTCCCGTGCCGTTCCCCCGGCCCCCTCCTCCGCCCCTCCGCCCCAGATACCTGGTCTTCCCCGCGCTCGGGGAATGCTGCATGTGCTGCACGGCAGCGCGGGGCTGCGGAATTTTGTCCCCCAAGTAAGGAAGGGCCGGATGGTGGATCAGTGGGGCGCGGCGACGGCCGTGCTGTGTGTGTGTGTGTGTGTGTGTGTGTGTGTTCCACTCTCGCTGTTATGTTTTGTCGTCATGCCCGTGCATTATTCGACTTTTGTGTTGCACTCTGCTGGCGGATCAGTTGCCCTCAGAAACAGTGACCCGCTGCTGCCCTACTCTTTGAACGGATCTGCTTCCCTATGTGAACTTAAACGGACCTGCTTCTCTATTTGCACCGGCGTCGATAGTTGATTCGGCCATCCTTCGGTCCGTTGGTGTGAAGCGCGCGTCAAACGAAATAGGGAGCGTCGTCTTCTCCTAACCGGTTTGTTTTCAAGCAAGATATGAACGGACACATGCCACCTGTCTCCGATTCCTCTTGTCTCGTCTCTGCCTGCCCATCCATTACTGCGCCAGTTGGCTGCAGGGTGCAAGTTTTGAAGGGGTGACTGAGATTCAGGTATGGATAGTGCAAATGATGTACAACTGTCGTACGGCTAATATTCAGTAAATAGAGAACGGTTTCAGAGTTGTCATCAAGCTGTACGGCGGAGGTGGCGCAGTTGGTTAGCGCGTAGGTCTCATACATTGTATGACTTGGGATATCCTAAGGTCGAGGGTTCGAACCCCTCTCTCCGCAGTGATTTTATGACTGTTGAAGAAATACGCTTGTGTGGGAGGTTTGTGTGGGACGCCCCCGCCCCACCCACGCTCCTTCACTGCAACCCACCGGCCTTCATGGGATCCCTTCCCACTTGACTGCCCTCACCTCCATGAAGGGTGTCCCGGCTTACAAGTGGCGCCGCGATGGGCTGCAGCCCAATTACTGGTGGGTGGTTGGTTGGTTGCATCAGGGGGTACGACATCTATCTGTGGGAAACTACATCTATCGATGGGGTACGACATCTTTCGGTGGGGTACGACATCTACCTGTTGCTTGGTGGGGTAGCTGAGGGAGGCAAGGCGTCAGTGCGTTGTCACGATACACTGCGTCTCGCTCTGGCACATCGGGTAGAGCTCCGCGCCCAACTGTGTGAATCTAGCGGCCAAAGACATCTGCATTCGTACTGCAGACTGGTAAAGGTGACTCGAGCTTGTTGGGCATGCCTGACCGGGCCTTTCTATCCTAGCCGGGCTTAGGGATCCTGCCGTACTTGGATCATGAGCGGCACTAAGCTCCCGCTCAGGCAGTGATCGCTGGAGTGACGGCACTCCGGTCCCGTCTTCCGGAGTAGATTCCGCGGCGTTTCCCCACCCTTGACCGAGGAGGGGTTTCCTGGTGTAGATCGTACAATCCAGGCTTTTGACACGCTGTGTCAATTACGCAGTGCGTGTGTCGTGACAGCGTGGCTAGACGGATACAGGTGGGGGAGGGGGGGACAGGGGAGGGGAAGGTGGGGCTGCCACTCGAAGTCCTGGGACCTTGGCACTGAGCTGACCGTGAACACTCCCCGTCCTGGCCTGCTGTTGAACCTGTTTCGAATCCATCCTGCACCCTTCTCCTGAAAAAGCCCCGGCCCGAATCCGTTCACCCTTATTCCTGGCAGCGATCAGCATGCAGGGACTTCTAACGGTCATGCTGGGTTCGCTCGGCAGTCACAAGCCGATCTTCATTTATTATCTGTTCAGTCTTGGCTTGATCTGGACTGTGTCTGGTTATGTAGGAGGCTGGTTGATGTTAATCAGTGACAAATAAACATGACACTGCTGTACAAAACACGTCGTCACCCCTCCGTCCCCTTTATTTGCCCTCTTTCCCTCGCTCCTTGCTTCCCAGGTACGCCAGCGCTGATGCGGCCCAGGTTCCCCTGGAGCTGGACCAGATGCCCAACGACCGCCAAACCTTCTGGCCGGGGACCTTCCAGGAGGGGCCGCCGCCTCCCGATGTGTTCCAGCTGCCAGAGGGGTGCAAGGCCAGGTGGGTGGGATGCGTGCAGGCCTCTCTTCAGGGCCCAGGGCCTCTCATCTAGCACAGGCATCATCATCTAGCACAGGCACCATGACCTACCGCCTGCCTCCTTCCGTCCACCCCACCACCGCTCCGGAACCCGCTCCGATTAACCCCGCACATGAACGCCGGCTCCTCACACCCACCTGTTCGTTCGGTGATGTATATTTGTGCCGAAGCGGCCTTCCCTCGCGCACCTATATCTACTACGCTCGCTCCTGGGTCGGGTGCTCCCTCGCTCCATCCAGCCCAAACCTCGCAAGCGCCGCTCCTCCATCTAACCCCCGCCCCCCACCTGCTGCCCCGCCCTGCCTACCTTCATCCACAGCTGCCCCTTGACAAGCGTTTGCACCATTGCCGCGGAGGAGGGGACAGAGTCCACCGAGGCCTGGTTTGCTAGATAGAGGCTCCATCGATGGCTGTTGATTGGGGGCGATGGCGGCCTTTCCATCCGCGGCTCCGTGTAGTCGGCAGGCCCCGGGACAGAGTCCTCTGATTTAATAAATGAGCTGCTCGGACGGCTGTTTGCTTGGATTGCTGGTGGCGACGGCTGGTGATGGGCCGGCCCTGCACACAAACGGAAGAGTCAGAGACCTGGTCGCGTACGCCTGGATGGGTTCACGCAGGGGTACCTCTCTCTCTCCCAAGGCGGCGGACCTCGATCGCTCGCTCTCACATGCTGGATTCCATGCTGCCTCACTAGCGGCTGCTTTCTACAGATATACGGCTAAAAGGGCCGTGCGTGCGTGCGTCCGCCACACATGCCTGCATGGCAGCCCACACACATGCGCATGCACGGGCGCTTCCCACGCACGCGCATCCCATCTGTGGCTACGGCAGACGGTTGATTTGGCGGCGGCTGCCTTCACATCGATTGGCCTGTATGTGGCCCTACCTGTAGGCGTACGTGTGCCCACCCATGCAGCTGCCAGTAGCCACCTCTGCTGGTGTCAGTGGCTGGTAGATAGGTGATGTCCCTGCAGCTGAATGCCTCGCTGCTGTTTGAAAGCCGGGACTACGGACTGCGTGGGGCGTGGGCAAAGGCCGTTGCGCAGGGTGGGGCAGGGTGAGAGAAGGGCATGCAGCCAGGCTGTTGCTGCTGCTGCAATACAGCTGTGGTAGGTGGTGGCGGCGGTGACTTCACGTGCGTGCACAGGCATGTTCAGCTCCACAGGCGTGCACTGTATGTTAGGCAGGCATGTCGTTGTGTGTGCACAACGGTGCGCGTGATGCCCGGTCATCAGAAACAAAACCACTGAACCAACCACACACGGCCTTACACCACGCCTACGTATCTACACTGGTGTTACATGCAGCCAAAGGCCACTGTTTGTAAGCCCCAATTCAGCCAGGAGTTTAATTGACGCACTCTATCTACATGTGTATGTATGTGTATGTGACCACTGGCAGCTGCGTGGCAAGACGCCGTTATGCGGGTCAATATCACCGCTGGTATGGAGGCAGCGTAGCGGAGCATAGACATGCATGTGGTCTTTTGTGGCTGCATTCCCATTTTCCCAGCACCGAAGGCAGGAGAACGGCGGCCCGGCACACCGCGCGCACCCCTGCTCCATCAGAAAGCGTAGGTAGCACAGGCCAGGCAGGTTGTCGCTCCTACGTACTGCCCGCCGGTCCGCCACATCCCTTACTGTCCAACGAAAGGATAGCCTACCTCGTCTCAGCAGCAGCCACTGCTGCAGGCGGTCCGTCCATCCAGGGCGCCGGCATCCGCCAGCAGGTCGTCGGCGCGGGCCTCCCTGGATGTACGCACGCATCGGCAGTAATGCGGGGGTAACCCAGCAGCGAGCCCCTCCAGCCCCTCCGTCCTCCTTGGCCTGCCAGAGTGCCAGTAGTCGGGCCTTGGGCGTAAGGCTAGCTCCCCGCTGCTGCTGCTGCCCGCTGTAGGTCGCTCGGCTTGCTGGCCTTGAATGAATAAATGAGCAACTACCCCAACACCCAGCAGCACGCAGCCCCTGCTGCAGAAGCTGCTTGCTTGCTTGTGCGTGCAGCAGCCGCTGCAAGCCTCACGCAAGGCCCTCACGCAGCTGCCACACACAGGTAGGTGGTGGCCTAGGCTTAATAATTATGCTCCTGCCGGGTCTGCCGGGTCTGCCGGGTCTGCCGGGTCTGGGATTTCACATTTTTGAAGGACTGCCGTACTGTACGGCATGTAGGCCTGGCTAACCAACCCAGCGGCGCAGACGACTGCGGGCCGCGCTAAGCGAGATCCACATGAGAGGCGTCACACACAATCATCAAACCCCTACCAAAACCAGCTCTCAACCCCCCGTCTGCCCAGCCTACTCAAGCGCTCTCGAGTCTCTAGAGCCCTACACAAAAGAACACCTCCGAGCGCCCTCGACCCCTGGGTCAGGGGCCTAAAACAACGGGGAGGCACCGCCGCACACCCGCGTTCCCTCGCCCCGGGCCGTTCTTATTACCCAAAACTACGAGGCAAGAGAAAGCCCACCCAGGCCAGGCACGGTCCCGCACGAGAACTAGCTACCTTGGGGCTGAGTCCCCTCACCAAGGGCTCCCGGGAAAGCCAGCACAGCAAGGAGCCCAACTGCCACAACACGACAGCCAAGGCGCTGCTACAGGAGCTGCTCGCTTAGGCAGGCACACACCCGCTCGCTGGCCCGCAAGGCGGCCTCCTCCTGGGGGCTACGGGTTCCCCGACGCTGCCCAGCGGGGGAAAACAAAACACCTACGGCCGGTGTGTGTATGCGCGCGCGTGTGTGTGTGTGTGTGTGTGACAAGCCGGCGCGGCGCCCCCCTTGAAAGCCCATTACGACGCACGGCTCACAGGCGCTGACTGCCCTCGCCTACCACGCAGAGATACTTACCCCTCCGTCCCTGGCCGCCAGCGGAGCCCAGCAACACCTACCCTCCCTCTGCACCCCCTCCCTCTCGCTCCCCCTTTCCCTCCTTCCATACGCCAAAGCTACATGCCTCCATCGCCGCACCTCTCAGCCACCAGACAACACAAAACCGCTCCTCACTCCTCGACGGACCCCGTCTCCCGAGAAGAGGGCACACACACCCACTCGCACAAAACAAAACAAGCAGGCCTGATCCCCCCCCTCCCTGCTAGATAGCCCACGAGACCCTTGGCCAGGAAACCCTTGCCCGCCCGCCCAGCCCTCCCATTGCCCACAACCCTCCCTGCTCTCCTCGCTCCACTCACCCTCTCCAGGCCCCCCCCCCTCACAGCCCCCCAACCCCCCCACCCTCCTCCCACCATCACCCGCTCCCTCCTCCCCTCCAACCAACGCCCCTTGCCCCGTCACTAGCACAGCTGCTTAAGTCGTGATCTCCACCGGCGCTGCGCACCGCATTCGCTCCTGAACGACCGCTAGGATGAGGTGCTGCGACCAGAAATCCGTCACCGCGCGGGCGCGCGCCCGGTCCAGCGGCGAGGTTTCGGCTGCGCCCCGCGCTGCTGCCGCTGCCTCTACTGCTGCCGCCGCCGCTACCACCGCCACCACCTCTCCGGCCCCCGCTTCCTGCGTAGGCGATTCACCCGCAAGGGGCGTTCAGCGCGGGCCCCTCCTGCTGTGTCGCCCCTCCCGCCAGGGCGAAGAAGTCGATGATGGCCCGCTGGCGCGGTCCCTGTCGCTGGGGCTGCTTTGGCTGGGGCTGCCCCGTCGCTGCTGCTGCCCCCGCCCGCCCCTGCCTCCGGGTTGCTGCTC